AATGAAGGATGTCATGGCTGACTTCAATTGGCTGAAAGCAGAAAACACCAGAAATATGTTATCTGTGTTGTATTGACTATGCAAAATTGAATTAAAACAAATTATAGATAACATAATAAAAATGGGAACGCAAAAAAAAATGGGAACGCAAAAAAAAAATAGCTAGTAATTTGACTTTGGCCTATTAAAATATAAATATACAGCAAGCATTTGCATTCAGAGGCCAAAACTGGACTAGATTGTAAATTAATAAACACATAGTCTTATTGAACATCTTATCCTTTTTAATATTAAAAATATAAGTTAGGTGAATTAATAGAAGCCTTTCTTATTAATAAAAACTTACTTTTAAAAAACAGCAACAACCAAAAAACCCAGGCTTGTGCACCAGGCCCTGATTGGCTCTAACTGGAGACTTCTGCCCTACAGCTCCTTGCTAGATAAATGCATCCAATCCAATCAGTTTACACACAATTCTGAACAAAATAAAACCAACCAAAATAGTCCACATCCAATTTGCAACCAAGACAAGAAGAATTTACCTTTCAAAAGCCAATGACTACACACATGTGCCTTCAACTAAAGACTCAGCCCCAACCAAATTTAAAAATAAAAACCCCAGGCCTGTGCACTAGGCTTTCATAAAGCAAAATGTATAGGATTATTGAGAAGGGAAACAATTTACTTTGTAAATGTTCACTAAAATTACAAAGGAAAAGAAACAAAATTGCAGCACAGTCCTTGGTATTTCCTCAAACAGCCAAACCACTTCTAGCAACACTCCACCAGGTTTATGAGGCCTTAAATCTTCATAGGAGAAGACTGCCATCCTGTCTTTCTCCCTTGAAGAAGCTGATGGATTCAAACTGCTGACCTTTAGGTTAGCAGCCCAACATTTGACCCATTAAATCACCAGGGCTCCTTCAAACAGAGATCAGTGAATTCAGCTTTGTTGTCCATAGGTGGTATGCTATTCAGCAGAATGAAAGTTCACGGGGAGCTCTGCTGGCCTAGTGGCAAGAAGTTGTACTGCAATCCCAAAGGTACACGGTTCGAATTCACCAGAGATGCTCTGCAGGAGAAGGAGGGACAATTTCCTCCTGTACCAGTCATTTCTGATTTGACGGTACATGCACAAGAAATAATAAAAAAGTTAAAAAAAAAAGAAAGTTCACATAGTAGGAAACAGAAAAAGGGTTTCAAACTCAAATGGGAAGATGAGGGACATGCAAACTGGAGGATGTGGAGGAGACTCTGGTGGCATGTAGGGGAGTTATGCTGCTAACCCAAAGACCTCACTTCTCTAGTGGTTCAAACCCACTAGCAGTTCTGTGGAAGAGATGGACAATTTATAGCCTTGGTAACTCAATGGAGAGTCAGCTATGAGTTGGTTCTAACTAAAAGGGAGTGGAAGAGAGGGGGAGGGAGGGAGGGGGAGGGAGAGAGAGAGAAGAAGGGAAGGAAAGGAAAAGAAGGAGAAGGAGAGGAAGGTGAGGAAGGAGAGGAGGAGGAGGAAGAAGAAGAGGAGGAGGAGGAGAAGGAGGAAGAGGAAGAGGATAGAAGAGAGAAGAGGGATGTTGATAAGAGTAGTGGCTTGGTTCAGATTCCAGCTGGAAACATCCAACTTGGTGAGTTAGAGAATAAGTGAAAAGAGGAAACTCAATTCCACTGATTCTTTTCACCTTCATTTAATTCCTGACCACTGAAGTTTGTGTTCTTAGGGAGCTCTGGTGGCCTAGTGGCAAGAAGCTGCACTGCAATGCAGAGGTACGCCGTTTGAATCCACCAGATGGTCTGCTGGAGAAGGAAGGGCAATCTCCTCTTGTACCAGTCAAATCCGATTTGACGGTACACACAAAAAAATAATAAATTTTTTTTAAAAAGATAATTTATACATAAAAAAAGTTTGTGTTCTGGAGCGGGCACCATAAAGTATATGGTTCAATTCAAAGGACCCTATTGGTGTGGTGGTTAAGACATGAACTGCTAACCAAAAGGTCTTTGGGGTTGGAACCCACCAGCAGTCCTGCAGAATAGAGAGGAGGCAGTGAGGCAGTGAGTAACAAGGTTACAGTACTGTAAGCCCTAAGTGGTGGCTCTACTCTGTCCTATGGGGTTACAATGAGTTGGAATCCACTGGAGGAGAAGTTTGCATTTGTTTGAGAGTGACTTCACCATCTGTGTTCTCTAGCTGCTTTCTTGGTACAGTAGGCTTGAGTACTAATAGCTCCATGTGTTGGGAAGTTATGTTCCAGTCCAAATCCCAGTTTTCAAAAAATCAAGTCATTTATGTGGAGTCATATTCAACTCAATGCTGACCTTCCAGCTGGTTTTCATGGGGGAAGACTACCCATCTTGCTCCCGCACAGCAGCTGGTGGATTTGAACCACCTGATTTTGTGTTGGCGACTCCTTTCTCCCTAGGCCACCACAGCTCCCATCAAAACGTGCACGGAAGGTGAGGTGAAGAAACCTGGATCCCTAATTGGCCTGCGAGAAGAGTTGTGTGTGAGTACCTTCCAAAGTGGGAGGTTTGTAATGACGGTGATTCTTGCAAACCAGCCTCCAACACGCCTCCTTTTTGCCTGTAAAATAGGGCTCTGCGGAAGCTATAAATTTACATCTTCGGATTAATTTTTCAAGACTTGGAATTGGAGAGTCACCTGGAGTCCGGGCTAAGGCCAAACCAGGAACTTGCCTCCCTCCAGATGTTATTTTAGAGGGGCAGGTGAAGGTGTGTGCTCTCCGCTAGCCCCAGTAGGAGATAGGCCTTGGGAAGTGGGGAGAGACATAGTGACTTAGGCAGGTATTTCAGAGAAAGAATAAATGGAAAGCGTTTGGGCTCTAGAAATATTTATATTTTAACAAATAAAGAGGAGACTAAAGAGTCAAAATGTTAGTGGCATGAGGGAAGGGCACTTTGCAGAGTGGCTGATCCTTCCTCCCTGTGGATTTGGGTCCATTTGGTTTGTCCCGCGGCGCTTACCACCAACAAAGCAGGGCAAGGTGAACATTATCCTGGGAAATGTAGTCTGCACATGCTGTTCCCCGACTCCTCAATGACACGGTTCTGCACTCTCGTAGGCACCCGGACTCCATTTCCCGAGATGCCCTGGGTCCGGGAGGCGGAGGCCTATCCGGGGGTGGGGTTTTGGAAGCTGAGGCTCCGCTGCGATTTGTGGTGATTCTTGTGTGGCCTCCTGTGGGCCATGTCCGCGTGAGGATCTGCCGACCCCGTCCCAGCCCGGCCGCGCGAGCACTATGGGCTCCATTCTGAGCCGCCGCATCGCGGGTGTGGAGGACATCGACATTCAGGCTAACTCGGCCTACCGCTTCCCCCCGAAGTCAGGTGAGCGCTTTGGAACGCAGGCCTGGTGGCGGGACAGCGGTGTACCCCGTGGAGGGTGTGGGGACCTGTACCAGGCACCGATGATGCTCCTGCCTCGAAGCACTTGCTTCTCAGCTCCTCGATTTGGAGCCTAGGCGCTCTAGGGGTTTGGGCGCAGGTCCGCCAGATTGCCCGCTGTTGTGGGCCTTGGCCTTGGGTCTGAGGTCACAGCGGTGCTGCCACTTCCTGTCCGAATGATGTTGGCTCAATTACTTCCCCACCCCACCTCTACTGCGTGATCCAGACTCCCGGGGGCGAGGTGAGGGTCTGGCATCACACGGTGAAGGCCTGGCCTTTCCCTAGCCCTTGTGAAGTGCCAGTTTTCCGAAAGGCTGACATCATCGCCATCGTGGTCTCGCGTTTTCTGCTGACTGGGGGTGAGTTCTGGGCCAGTGAACAGTGCACCTCCATCCTAGGTGGGCAGGGTCAGAAACTACTTGGAGGTCATTGGTGCTGGCAGGGGATCGGAGTGGGGGGCGTGGTCCTTGCACAGAGGAGAGGACCAGTACCCACACTAGAACTAAACCATGGTGGGAGGGAACTTTTCCAGATTTACTCCAGCTATATTTCAGAGGTGGAAGTGTTTTTCCGTAGATCTCATCTGCTCACCTGGGACCAGGTGTCCTCCTCCTGGGCCTCAGGTAGTCTTGTTCTGTTTCTGTGGATAAGTGTGGCCTGACTGAACCAGCTGAGTTCAGCTGAGTCAGTCTTGGTTGTTCAAGGTGGAAAGAAGAGAAGGGACTCGTGTGAGTGTGGGTATTACAGTGGAGAGTCTCGGATCTTGGCTTCATGGGATGACCCCTCATGTGACTCATGGTGACCCTGTTTGTGCAGAATAGAACTTCTCCCTAGGGTTTTAGCAATTTGTTATTAACCAAGAAAAAAGACTGTAAATCTTATAAAATAAATCTTGTAAATCCAAGACTGTAAATATTCGCTGCCTCATCTTTCTTTCTCATTGTGGCTGCTGGATTTGAACTGCTGTTGTTTCAAATAGCAGCCCAGCATTACTATAGTAATTACCTTTGTAATAGCATTTTTTTTTGTATAGCATTACCTTTGTAATGGTTTTGGATCGTGGAGACCCTTCAGTGGGTTTCACGTGCTGTAAATCTTAGCAGGGACAACCTGTCATCTTACTTCAGGGGAGTCCTGTGGGATTTGAACTGCCAACCTTTTGATGCCTAAACATGACCACACTGCCCAGGACTCTTTGGCAATCTTATGGGGCATTCCTGTTCCATCCTATGGCTACTGTGACTCAAAATCAACTCAGTGGCAGTGAGTTTACTTTTATTAATTTATTTTCAGTCTTTCATACACCTCTTCCAAGGAAATTCCCCTTTTGGTGGATTTGAACTGTCAGCCTTTCACCAGGACTGGGAACTTTCATTTTTTTTTTTCTTTCTATAATTATATTTTATTAATTTTCATAAACATTTACAGAGATTTTGGGCTTCCACTCATTCATTGTTGCACTATTCTCTCTACCCTCCTCCCAGTTTGTTCTTGTCCAAATGCCACAGTGCTTGTCAAAGCCAGTTCTGATTAATCTTCTTTGTCAGTGTATCCTTTGCCATTCCCTATCACTCCTCCCTGAGAGAGACTTCACCCTGAGTCATAAGGAAAAGGGGACGGCGTATTCTCTTAGCTACTTCCTGCTGAAAAGGGACGCTGTGGGTTTCAGGGTGAAGATCTTCTCTCACTACTCTAAAGGGCCCCTTTGGCAGTAGGAAACACATAGACTATTATGGAGATTGATTTTGGAATTCAGATGCACTCTTATTGATTGTGCTTGGCTGTACATGTACATATCCTTCAAGATGTATCATGGGGGTGTTGCAACCTAGAAGACACAAATTTGACTAACAAGTTATAAGTACATGAGTCCAAAAATTATGGAAAAGTAAAAGAAAAGATTCTTTCATTGTTTTACAAACACTCCCCCAGGTCCCCTCCACCATGCAGCCCTCGCTCTAGTCTCCTGTGATGACAGAAATACCCAGTTACATCTCTCTTTTAGACGGTTCTCTCCCTCCTCTGTTTCAGTGCAGTATACATTATTGAACCCATCTTACTCAGTCTCTCCCCAACCCCAAGGACAGTCCCATTCTACAACAGTGGCATCATGTAATATTTGTCCTTTTGTGACTGGGATATTTCACTCAGCATAATGTTCTCCAGAGTCAACCATTTTGAATAATATTGCATGAGTTCCTTGTTTTTTAATGCAGCATAGTATTCCATTGTGCGAATATACCACAGCTTCTCTAGCCATTCATTTGTTGATGGGCACTTAGGTTGTTTCCAACTCCTTGCTATTGTGAACAAAGCTGCAATAAACATGGGTGTGCATAGATCTGCTTGGATGTCAGCTATGGTCTCTTCAGGGTATATTCCCAGTAGTGGAATTGCTGGGTCAAATGGTATCTCTATTTGCAACTTTTTGAGAAAGCGCCATACTGCTTTCCACAGGGGTTGCACCATTTTACACTCCCACCAACAGTGAATCAGGGTTCCAGTTTCTCCAGGCAAGCCTGATGTCTGCTTATGTTTGAGAAATATTGTGCTCAGACTATATAGATAGTTGAAGATGGGGAATTACAGGTTAAAAGAATGGGGACCCGCACAGTTGTGGGGTGGTGGGAGGGAGATCACATTAGAACACTGATTACTTCTTGCCAGATAGGAGGTTTCCATCTGACCTTCCTGCTAGGCCCAGCAGTAGGCCTGGTAGGCAGCTAGGGGACCCCCCCTGGTGACACTGTAGGCTCATACCCTTAACCTGATGAGGTGGTTGTTTCATATCATAGCTCTTTGTCTGAGGTGTCTATCTAACCTATCTTTGACCGAACAGCTTGGGCAAGTTAATTAACCTCCTGGGCTACAGTGCTCCTAATCTGTAAAATGGGTTCATAAACTGAGCATTATACAGAACAGTGCTTGATATATAATCAAATCCCCCTGCCACCAAGTTTATTTTAGTTCATAGTGACCCTCTACAAGATAGGTCTCCAAGGCTATAAATCTTTATAGGAGGAGACTTCACGTTCTCCCTTGCAGAGCAGCTGATAGATTCTAACAAAATTATTATCCTGACATGCCAAACACAGGGTACCTTCCCCCAAAATTAGCTGCAGTACTTGCTTAATAAGAGTCAGCTGCTTGATCCTGGTAGCAGTTAGCACTGGCATGGCAGACTTTTGAAAAAGATATAAGATATATGGTGATTTCATCACCAGAAACTTTGGTGGCAAAGTGGATTAAGCATTGGACTGCTAACCAGAAGATGGACATTTTGAATGCAGTAGCTGAAGACCCTCAACAGGATAGGTTGACGTGACTGTAACAGTGGACTCATGCATATTGGAGATAATGCAGATGACACAAGATGGGGCCTGGTTCAGATTTGTTATTCATAGGGTGCTAGGAGTTGCAGTTGTTGACACAGTGAGCACATAGCAACAACAACAGGGCTGCTCTCTAGCAGCCAATAAATTGAAAGACGTGTTGCATTGGGAAAATCTACTCTCATGGACCTCTCCAGGGAAGTAAATGAGCGGTAATGTCAACTTAAAGACCAGGATGCAGCTGATTCTAGCCATAGTCTTTTCAGCTATTTGCTTTGCAACTGAATTTTGGATAATGAAAAAAGGATGATAGAAGAATTCATTTGAGTGGTACTGGAGAAGAGTACTGACTATTCCATGCACTCCAAAAGAACTAACAAGTATATCTTAGAGAAAGTGTGGCCAGGATGCTCCTTAGTGTTTGACTATAACAATGAACTCTAGTATGGTGGAGATGATGAGGATGGCACAGGGTAGGGCAAGGTTCAGAACATGTTCATAGGGTTGCTATGAGTGATAGTTTACTCGATGGCACCTTCCAACAACAGCCTGTCCCCAAAAGAAAGATGACGTGGTCTGGTTCTATGAGGACTTACAGCCTGGAAAACCTTATTGGGTAGATTGCTTTGAATCTGAGTTGACTTGATGGCAGTAGTCTGGTTGGGGGGTTTTGTGGGTGTGTACATGGTATTTTCAGTTGCTTCCTCTGCATCTGAAAGTTGGGCTTTCATGAATAAGGAAGATTGAAGAAGAATCAATGCCTTTGAATTGTGGTGCCAGAGAATAGTACTGACTATCCTATGGACTGGCAAGAAAACAAAAAGTATATTCCAGAAAGTGCATCCAGATTCCTTAGAGGTGATGATGGTGACACTTGGACTCACTTAGTTTGAACATAGTTTAAGGAGGAACCAGTTCTTGGTCTCCTGACTGCTGCTACCATGGGTGTTGACTGTGGATCAGCAATAAAATGAAGCCTTTGACAGCTTCAGTCTTCATTTCAGCATGAAAGAGGTATCAATGCTGTGAAAACTATAGGGTCAGTAAAGAGGAGAAGACCCTCTAACAGGATAGATTGACACAGTGGCAGTAACAATGGGCTCGAACGTATTAAAAATGATGAGGATGGCGCTGGTTAGGGCAAGGTGCAGATCTGTGGTTTGTAGAGGCACTGTGACTCGTAGGCAACTCGCTAGCCCCTGACAACACCAACAACTGTGTGTGCCTTAGGTAAGGACTGTGGTGGGTTGAGTGTTGGGCTGGCAAACTGAAAAATTGGAGTTTTGAGTTGGAGGCCTCTACCAGCTGCTCATGGAATGAAGTTGGACAGTTTGCTTTCATAACGATTTATAGGCTCAAAACTTGACAGGGCAGGACTGCAGGGTCACTGAGAGTCAAAATATACTCAGTTGGCAGTGGCTTTGCTTTGGGTTATCACCTAAGACCAGAGTAAGCTTAATGTCCTTCTACCTGGGAGCTTGAACAGAATGATGAATGCAGGCGAATGCATCACCACTTTTTGGCAGATTAATCACAATACTCTTTCCAACTGAGCCTGAATTTGGGTTCAGAATCTAACCAGCCACTTCTTGGAAGAATATCCCTTGCTCA